TAAGACACTGCCCAAGGGGCTGTAGATGGTATACTTATATGGGATTTTCTTCTTCAAACTGCACCTCAGGATCGCATGAACGGACGCTTGCCTCATGTTTGCATGGTTTCATACCATGACCAAAGGTTTCGCATGAATCCCCGCGCGAAACCATGTGGACATAGGCAAGTCGTCCCTTCATACGATCCTGGGGTACAGTTTGGAGGCGGATTTTTCAGCCGCGAGTAACTCGTTCGCGCTGCCGCTTGGGCACTGTCGGTTAGGGCTCCAAAAACTATCCACGTGAGATACCCATAGGTCTATATTTGCATGGACGCTGCTTTCAAGTGGAAAAGAAAGATTGAGAACTGTCTTCAAAAACCATTAGAAGTCAGATACTGATGCCATAATGTGCCTGTAAAAGCAGTGCTCCAACCATCTTCTTTCCCAACGCGAATTGCACGATTGAAAGACTGCTGTACCCTTCACGTCTTGCTTGGCTATGAATAATTTGTTTCTTGTAGGAATTCAGTCAGACTTCTCCAGCTCTGCTTAGAGACATGATGTTCTGGGAAGCTTTAGACGAAGAAAACTCACAAGAAGTGCCACAAGTCCAATGGGATGTCAAGGAAGCTACCCACGAACTAGCAGTACAAGCAGTTCCCGTCATGGTTGGTCGCGTATATCATACGGTGATCTCTAAGCGCGGTATTTGTAGGCAGACAGTAGCATGCAATGTGGTAGAGAGACTGCTGAGCGCAGTACGAGTATGGAAACAACATTCTGTGATAATGGAACTCAAACCGAAATCACAAAGATGTTTTCCACTGATGTTCAGGTAATATTATGAGTTTCCATCCACTGTCCTGACATAGAGTTCGAAATCCAGTACATCGAAGTGATCCCTATCTTTTTAAACGTTTATTGATGATGAAGATTACAGACCAGCAGTGAGTGCATAGCGGTTGAGTCCAACGTAGTCCGGACCGATGACATTAAAGCAGAGGTAAGCACCAGCTTAGGTGTGAAAGAAACAAAAGCAGTGTATCGAATAATATTCGAATATTACTTGGCTGTAGACTACCACAGTGCTTCGAAACTATCAATCCAACTAACTAATGAATTCAACTAGGATTTGGCGCAGCCATGTCATCAGCCTTATTAGCCAAGTCTCACTCAGGGCCCTGCAAGCGTCT